TTCTGATTGCACAGCCCTGCGGTTGGGCTTTGTAGTGTCACCTCTCTTTTTTTGTTATTATTTTTTTAAAAAACTCATTGCCTTTCTTCTTTTGGCCTCTTCTGTCTTGGACTTTGGCCTGTGCAGCATCTGCCTGTTGCAGGGCCACTTGCATGTGACGGATGTGGCCTGTAGCACCTAGAAGGCTCTGAGGAGGCCAGGGGACAACAGTCCCTGTGTCGATTGCTGCGGGCGTCACTTTCTCCCAACCCTCGGATGGGGAAATACGCTTCGAATCCAGGCTTTTTCCTAGCAGGTGGTTTTGCCTTCTCCCTTTCCAACCATGGCTCAAACGTCTTGTGGGCTTCCTTGGCCCGGTTCTATCGCACCGAAGTTCTGCAGCTTCAGTGGTGCAGCCGAGATGGTGATCTCAAAAGCCCTGAGTGGTTGCGTTTCTCTACGGAGCATTAATCTGGAATCAGTTCCTTCTGCTTTCTCTGCCAGCCCCGCAGAAGAGCCCTGCGTTTGCCTCGCTCCTTTGGGGTACGATGCCGGTAGGAAATAGGCTGAGTCGTTCTGAGCCGGGTGAAGCAGAGCTGAAGGCGATCCGCGGCTCCGGGATCCAGAGGGGAAGCCCAGAGGTTGGATTTGATTTTCCACACTGGGAGCGGTGTTGTCGCTCCACTGAGATCTGCTGCTTAAGCAGATTTCATGTGTAATTAAAATCAAATCTGCCAAAGTGCCAGTGCTTGAGGAAAAATGCAACTGAGCAGCAAAGCAGAGAGGAAGACGCTCGTCCTCTATTTCATTTCATTTCCCTTTTAGCCCCACGGAAAACAAGTTTGAGGAGAAAAAGTTAAAAAGTGTGTGTTTTTCTTTCTGTTTTTCCAGAAGCGAGAGGTGGTAAACAGCAAAGCTGTGGCAGAGAGGGGCCCCCGCGGCAGCCCCGGTCCCGAGGGAGGGCTGTGCTTAGGAAGCTCGTCAGGAAGCGACTCGCTTTCAGCTCACGCAAGCGTGGGGGGGAATTAAAAATCCCCGAAGCCTCCTGCTTTACCTCCCCACCGCCTTTGGCTCCTCCTCACTGTTGCAGCGGCGGGTGTTTTTTCTCCAGCTTGCGGCAGCAGGACCGTTGAGGTCCCTTTTGTGGCCGGCAGCCCCGCAGGTCACCAGGCAGGGCAGCGACTGCCGGTCTGCTCGGCGAGGAAGAGGAGGGGTGACCGCGTGCGACGCGCTCTGCGCCTCTGGCTCCAGCCTCTCCGGCCGTAGGAGGGGAGAGCTGCGTGTTGGAAGAAGCCACCCTGGAGCTGTGATCCTGGACTGGCCCCGCTCTGCCCTCTTGGCGGCAGGAGGCGGCTGCGCTTCGCGCTGCGGCGGTGCCCAGGGCGGAAAGGAGGAAGGGAAACGTTTCCGCTTTCGCTGCCCCCGGCCAGGGCAACAAACCGCTGCCCCAAGGATAAGGGAACAGCCCGGCGTAAACTGCTAGTGGCAATGATGCTTTTGAGCATCCAAAGTTCCACAGGAACTTAGGGAAAAATTTCTTGACAGTGAGGGTGCCAGAGCACTGGAACAGGCTGCCCAGAGAGGTTGTGGAGTCTCCTTCTCTGGAGATCTTCAAAACCCGCTTGGACGCAGCCCTGTGCCACGTGCTCTAGGTGACCCTGCGTGTGCAGGGGGTTGGACTAGATGATCCCTAGGGGTCCCTTCCAACCTTCAGCATTCTGTGATTCTATGATGATTCCATGACAAGTACTGAGGATGCTTCTTCCCATTAGCAGCCTGCAGGGCTTCTGTTTCGGAGATTAAAATCCTCTAACTAGTGATAGGAGGTGGGTAGGTTGCTCTACACTTGATATCCACTATTGATGGTGTTACCTTGGTTGGGTAAGTTGAACGCCTGTGCTTGTGCATATATAACCCGTGCTTTTTCTGCCCTCTCTCTGTCAGATTTAGTGTGTTTTGAGGCGGCCGCCCCAACCCAGGGTAGCCAGCGCGGGGAACGGCCACCAAAGTGAAAAAGAGGAACGCGCCGGCTGCCGTCAAAGACAAACGTGGACTTGGCTTTGCTAATGCGCAGGCGCTTTCACAGGTGCTGGGAGAAAAAGAAACGAAATTCCAGCAGTTCTTGCAATTCCCTGCACGAGCCAGGACTCGGCAGGGCAGCCAAACGTGCAGCCGGGGCGCGAGGGGTTACGCCGAGCTCCCGTGAAATGAGCCTGGCTCCTTTTCCTGTCCGTGGCAGTGATGGAACAGAAAAGGAGCTGCAGGATGTGTTTGCACTCTTTTTTTTTCCCCCTCTTTTTTCCTCTTTTTTTTTTTTTTAATTTATTTATTCCCCCCAGTCATTGCACCTCGTGCCAAATGTCTCCAGCAATTTCAAAAGCGCTTCCTGACTCGGTGGAAACTTTCCCTGCGTTATGAACACTGAGCAAGGGTAAGGGGGAGCTGCCTTTTTCTTCAGCGCTGAGATATCAGAAGGAATCCAGCTGTTTGCATTTAAACCTGTGCTGCAGAATGATTGATTTTTGTTGTATTTATTTTTAAACTTCCAGTGATGACTGAAGGATCAGATTTATTTGTTATTATTTTTAACATGCCTTATTTTCTGGTTGAACAGAGTGAGTTTTGTGTTTTCCTGCTTCTTTCTTGATCTTAGAGCCTTACAGTTTCTTCCCTGGAAAATGCAAAGCTCTGGGGAATAATTCCCTTTGGATCAAGGAGCCTTAATGCCAAGCTCATGAACAGCTGGCCTGAGCTGCTTGGGCTACTGAAAAAGAAAACTCTGAATTTTTACTCTAGCAAGAAACGTGATTGCTTCATCCCTCGGTGCTGCTGTTACTCGCCACCTGCCTCAGAGCTGCATCAGCCGCCACAAACCCTCACTGCTGCTCTTTTCTCTTGATGCCCTCTCCAAAGCTAGCCCTGAACAAGAGGCCGCTCTTTTCGTCATTTGGTAGCTTAGGCTATCAAAAATGGGATAGGAAATCTGAATGTCTCAAATGGGGGGTCGGAATAGAGATAAGTTTTGTGCAAACAATCCCTGTTGTCAGGAAAGTAACGCGAATTAAAATCCCTCCAGGTTGACTTCTTGGGCCTATCGTTAAATTCCAGGGGCTCTTAGCTTTTTTCCTGCATTTTAGTTCAGGTTCTGGGAAATACAGAGGATCCTGCAGACTGCTTGCACCGTCTGAAAGAATAATCAGTGAGCACCTTCGGCAGAGCATCGGAAGGTAGAAATTGCACATCAAGGCCATGAATCATAGAATCATTATGGTTCATTATGGTTCGAAAAGGCCTTCAAGGTCATCAAGTCCAATCATAAACCCGTGCCTGCTAAACCGTGTCCCTAAGTGCCTCATCTACATGTTTCTTGAATGCTGCCAGGGATGGTGACTCAATCTGATGAGAGTAAAGCCTGCAGGTAGATTTGCACGAGCATAAGTGGCAAATGGGGCAGTCAGAATCACAGAATGGTTGAGATTGGAAGGTTCCCTTCCAGCCACCACCAGGAAGAGATTGGCTCCATCCCCTTTTACGTTTTCCCCTCAGGTATTTGTACATGCTGATCAGATCCCTCTCAATCTTTGCTTCTCCAGGCTAACCAGGCCCCGCTCGCTCGGGCTTTCCTCATACGATAGATGCTCCTGTCCCTTACTCATGTTTGTTGCTCTGTGCTGGCCCCTCTCTAGCAGCTCCATGTCCCTCTTGTCCTGGGGAGCCCAGAACTGCCCCCAATGCTCCAGGTGCCTCCCCAGAGCGGGGCAGAGGGGCAGGATCCCCTCCCTCGCCCGCTGGCAACGCTCCTGCTGCTGCAGCCAGGAGCCCATTGGCCTTCTTGGCCACGAGGGCACATTGCTGCCTCATGGGGAACTTGGTGTCAACCAGAATTCCAGAATTCCTCTGCAAATGTGTGGGTCATCCTTACGCTGATGGAGCCTTGCTTAGTGCTGCATGCATCTCTGTAGCTCTTGGTGCAGAAATGATATTCTTCCTTTGGGCAGTAATCGATTTTAATTTCGTGAGTATCTTGGCAATCTCTCTTCTGCTGTTTGGATTTCACCTGCTAACCCGCTAGGGGATGGCGCCCACCTGTGTCTAACCCTTCAGGCGAGGCCATGCCATGAGAGGTGCTCGTTGCATACAGGGATGTTAGGCAGTGCATTGCTCATACTTTGGAAATAAGGCATCCTTGGCAGGCTTCTCTTAACTTTTTAAAATGCCATTGAAAAGAGTTGCTCCAGTTGTGCAGCTGGACCTGAGCTGTGTTTTGGAACTGTGTTGGACAGTGGGCAAACGCCGTTCATTTCCAGAGGTGTTGGAGATAGGTAGATAAGGTACATGTTGATCCCAGGTCGAAGTCATGAGGTAGAGAGATATCTCCTTGGATAGTTCATTGCTCCAGTAAATCGAGAAGTGAAAGGTGTTTATTTTATCACCAAGGGGTGATTTCTGGAAATGTAATTCACTACCCAGGAGGGGCCTGCATCCTTCACAGTGATAAAACTCTCTAGGATATTATGGGCACAGAGGAAGTGTCAGGGTGAGCATTTTGGATCAAGGGATGTGTCGTGCTGATGCTCTCTGTGCTGGTTAGTGGTATCGACTATTTATGTTTTCTCTTGCACAGTGGAATATTTATGATGAGCTTTTAAAGAGGGTTGCTCTGATAGTATATTCTCATTTTTTTGTTTCTAAAAGATCTGTGGCCCAAAGTGGTAAAGGAGATGCAGTTATCTGGAGTGAATCCAGTAGATCCCAATTCCACATTCTTTTCTTCTTCTTCTTCTTCTTCTTCTTTTTATTTATTTATTTATTTTTTAGTACAGGCTTCCTAAATTGAGTAGAGGTGTTCTTAATACTCCTTCATGTTGACAAATATTATTTAACGTTGACAGTGTGCTGAGCTGTGTCTTCTAACATTCCTCCCCAAGATCTTGTCCTCTAATGATGGGAAACAGCTAAAACTGTAATTTTTGCCTGGATTAGTGCCTGTGTTGAACCAAGTGTTTCTATTGCAGTGCCTTTGCTAGCGATTGAGAACCATGTCTGACAATGGAGAGCTGGAAGACAAGCCACCAGCGCCTCCTGTCCGGATGACCAGCGTTATCTTCAGCTCAGGGGGCAAAGACCATTTTTTTGCCAACCACAGCTTGAAACCCCTGCCCTCTGTACCAGAAGAGAGAAAACCTAGGTATAAAATCATCTCCATATTCACCAGCACTGAAAAAGGTAAGAGGCCTCCATTTTCCACTGTTATGACCTGTCATCCTTTACTCTTCCTGTAAGTTTTGGTAGTGCTTTAGAGGATTGAGTCCATCATTTGCACTTTGTGTTTGTGGAATTTCCTCTTAGCCATTCCAAATGTTTGGGGCGGTAGAGAAATACCGAGAGTTTGGCACCTGTGTTCAGTGAGCTGGGCTCTTCCTTTCCCTTTACCACTGAGACGCATGAAGATGGGAAAGTAAAAGACAACAAATTAAATAGCTCATTGAGGAAAACCTCTGCCTACTGCTTCTAAAATTTACTGCCCAGTTTAAAGCTCTATTGCTGCACTTCTGTATCACCTTAGATATTACTGATTCCTGGGTATTCTTTGCCATTTTGCTGTGCTAAATACAGGCTTTTGGTTTGGACTGAACTGTATGAATTCCCGTGACGAACAAAATAGTGCACAGAAAATCTCCTAGCAAAGATTCTGCATCTTCGAACATGTGAAAGGGTGAAATGGTGGGAAGAGTTATTAACACGCCCTTAAACTGCTATGTCTTTTATCAGCCTATGCCAGTTATCATTTTTGGTGAATATTGATGAATTTTGGTGAATATCAAGTTGTATTCCCAACAGAAATTAATGCTAAATATTAACACATGTTGATATAATTTATCTTTGGGGTTCATTCTGAAGATGTTGCAAACTTAATTATTGATTATCCCCTGTCCCTTTTCTCCCTTTTTTTAAACCTTACATTTGCTACAGATGTATTCACAAATTTTAGGGAATTCATTACAAAATTGCAGCTTGTAAAACTTGTGGAAGAGCGAATATTTAGGCAGAAAGATAAAGTTTTTATATATGCGCCTCTCAGGGTTAGAAACAAAGGATTGCATATCATGGGGAAAGCCTTAATCTTAGTAATATCTTCCAGTTCAGAAACTCTTTTCAGTTTCCTATGTTTCGTGGTAGGTAAGTGGCAGGTAGGACTGGTTCAGCTGTGCTGACACAGGTTTGACTATTTTGAAACACTTTGCTCCTCCAGTTACTTATTCACTTTCCTAAGTATGTTCCCCAGGGCTGTTTTTTATTCCTGCTTGGCTTTCCAAACTATCCCACAGCAGCTCTGCCTCACGCCAGAGGCGAATACTAGAGGTGGGCATCCTTGGCTGCAGAAGATGGCTTTCCATCACCGGGTGGGCTCTGAATGAGGAGTGAAATAACCCACCGTGCTGCTGAGTTTAGAGCAACAGTGGTGGTGGCTTCTCTTCGAGGCTGGAAAGAAGCATTAAAGAGAGGTGCCTGAAAGAGAAGGACAGAAGTTGCTACAGGTTGGTGGTCGCAAACACAGACTCAAGACCTCTGAGCTTTGTGCAGGCAGTAAATCCTAGTCTGTTCATTACAGCATCTGTTTTTGTCTGGAGCAGGTTCTAGCTTAGCCCTTCAATTCTGCAAAACCTGGTATTTATTATATTGTTTGTCATGGGAGGAGACACACAGAAATCAATAAGGTGAGCTCTGCAAGCAAATCTGGTGGAAGACTCAAACCCCTCCATCTTCCCAATGGGATAATGGATTCTGCTGATACCTCGTGGAGGAGCTGGCAGGCACTTGCAGCTGTGCCATTGCCTAGAGGGACATCAGAAGATCTTAAAGCTGTTTTATCAGATGAACTACAATGAAATAGAAGGTGAACACAAAGCAAGAGAGAAGGTCTTTCGTGCTCTGAATCCGTAATACTGCGTGAGGGCTCACTTGTGCAACACTGATGTGCTGAAGCATCTGAGAAGATGGAAAGGCTCAGATAGGCTCCGTTGGATGCTCCAGCAGAATTAACAGGAATTTCATAGAGATAATTTACGGTCCAAAATGGTCTGTCTGTAGGCCTTCCTCATATTCAGTGGGTTTATGAACTGCCTGGAATGGCTGGAAAGGTGGGGACTCAAGCAGCTACACCAAGACTTGTCTAAAGTTGCGTTGACTGTCTTGAATTGTTTAAAAACTCGATTACTTATTGCAGACCTCTCTGCAGTGAGTGGCGTGCACCAAATGTATGGAAGGTCTTTGCACACTTGCTTATTCTGTGTCTGCATACCTAGTGATGCAAGCTAAAAATGGGAGAAGCCGTTTCAGCCAAGAAGAGTGCTTTTTTTGAGACCATTGTGCCCATTTAACTTTTTTGAATGCTAAAAAAAAAAAAAAAAAAAAAAGGTTTTACCCCATTGCATGGTTATAGAAAAGTGTTAATTGGATGAAACTGTCCAAAAGATGTCTTATTTAATTTGAGGGAACACCTTCTCAAGTGGCTGATGTGCACAATGGTAATGTAAACGTGGGGCAAAATGCTTTCAGCCCTCACTGTGAAAATCAGCTGTCAAGCATAAGCAGAGAATAAATGGACACAGGGACTTTCTGGCACCAAAACAATAGGCTGATGTTGGTTGTTTTGTTCCCTAGCTTGACTGAGACTCGCCCCTGCCAGAAATGCCCATTCAAATCTTTCTGTTCTGCTGCTGGTAATCTCGACAGAAATATTAGATCCCTGCTTGTTCTTGTTCTTGTTTTTTTTTTTTTTTTTATTTGGATTATATGCCGATTGGATTGTTAACCTGACTTTGTATTTCAAGTAGATTGTTTTTCAGGGGAAAGATTTCTCCCCACTTTGGTACAAAGCTTGACAAGTTAAAACAGAAATGGTAAATTCTCCTTTTCATCAAATGAAGGCATGTCTTACAAGGAGACCTCCAAGGCTCCTGCAGCAAGGAAGAGTTGTGTATGTTCTGCTTGGATTTGCAGTGGCGCCTATGGAGAAGCCTGAGGATGGGGCGTTGCAGGTGTTGAAGCCTGTTGTGATGCTCTTTGCCTTTTGATCCCACAGTTTCCTATGCTGTTTTGTTGCCTCCCAGCTTCAAGATGCACTAACAACATCATCCTACCTATTGCAACAGCTCTGCCTCCACTGCTACTCCCTTCAGAGGTTTCTCTACCTCTAGGAGGTCTCTTTGAGGAGATGGTGGCATTTGGGGGACTAACCGTGGCTGGTGAGGTTTAAAATATTCCAGATGCAGAGTTTCTGCCCCAAGGCAGAGCTAGTCCTGCAGTGAATTAACCACAAGAGCTTAAAGATACTATCGAACAACCGAGGGATGGAGGCTTTTTTCCCCACTTCCATTCTTGAAGGTGTGTGATGAGATGGTCACCTTTCTGCTGTCCTATTCAGCTGCCACTAATTTCCTCGGCTGGTCGTCTGACATTGAATGAACCCACATGGATGTTCTTTTGGAAAGCTCTAAAAAAGGCCTCTGAAACCAGAGATGTTTATGTTTGGGCAGGACTTGGTGATGGAGGTTCTCTGGGGCCTACCCAAGACCAACACGACTTTGCGGTGGGCTCAAGATCTCTGGCTCGGTGCAGTTTCAGCACGGGTTCAGCTGGGGTTCTGTGGCAAAAGACATCTTGGCTTCAGCCACCTGCCTGCTGTGCCCTGGTTGTTTCTTGACCTCTTTATGGAGGTTGGCATGAGCACCCATTGGTGAGTGTGTTGGCAGGGAGTGACGGATGGGGAGGTGCCTCGTGGCTGAGCAGCGTCGCAGGAAGGTAGGCAAAGCGCCTCAGCCACTGCATTTCTCCATTGCTGTGGTTTCATTTAGGGAGAGTTTTACTGTATTTGAGGCATCTTTTTAGTCAAATTCTCCTCTTTTCAGGGGGAGCCCTATGAAGGAACATATTCCCCTGTCCAATTTGAAAGGGGGTATTTGCAGGGCCCTCAAGTCTGCCCGAGCTATAGGAGCCGGGCACCATACCTTAAATCCTCTTGTGTCTCAACATGAGCATGGCCCTTCCTTAGAGGGATTCCCGCTCCTGTAGGGAGCCGTGCCGCGATGGGTTCCCACGCGGCGCTGCCAAACCGCGCCGCGCCGGCCCCGCTGCTCGCCCGCCGTCGCTCCCAGCGCCTCCCGTCGGACATTCCCCTCAGCCCAGGGGCGGCTTCCTCGCCTCCTGCCTGAGGCCCCGCAACAGGCGATTCTGCAAGGTGGGGGTTTGTTTGCACCATGTGTTCCCGAGGATTTGAGCGCCAGCCCTCATCCCCCAGAACCCGAGTGTTCACGTGAGTCTTCCCTGAGCAATGCAGCTTTTTATTTCTTTTTTTTTTTTTTCCCCCTGCCTTCGCATAAACAACTGCTAGAGGTCGGGAAGAAACGGTGCTTTTCCTGAAACGCTTGCACGTAAGCCAACCTTCTCCGAGCCCGCGGCGGAAATATCTTAATGAGACCGCTTGACGATCCGCTCGCCTGTTGGCTCCGGCTGCTGTAGCCATGTTCAAAATATCCTGTTTATAATAGCAGTGTCTTTCCACCGCATTGTTCGGCTCGAGGCGGCCCACGGCGGGCTCTCCATCTCGGAGCATTGTCTCCGGCTCCCTCGTCTTCCTTTCCCGCCCGTGGGAAGTCGTTTCGGAAAGATCCCCTGGCTCCGCTTGAGGAGCATGAGGTGCGCTTCCCCTGCGAGCCTGCACCTTTTTACAGCTCTTTTAGTTGATTTTTTCCTCATAAAACTTTGTGGCCTGCTGCCAGGTCTCTTCTTTGCAGCGAAACGCTGCAAGTTGGGGCCAGGAGCACCAGGTTTCCACCTGGACAGCAGGGAAAGAAAGCAGGACACCCTCCCAAGCCCCAGCTTACTCAGGAGAAAATGTTTAAAGGGGCTACAAAGGTTTATAATTAATGGTAACTTTATCTCAGAATTTGACTTAAAAATGAAAATGGGAGACAGTTTGTGACTATATTCTCCTTGTCAGAAAAATGGGGAAGAAATAAAAGGCCCAGACCATTCGTTATAAAACATCTCGTGAGTTTAATTGAACCTAGGGAGGATTGTTCAGGTGGTCCTTCTTATTTTCTATCCACTTTTCTGGGACTTACTGTGGTGCCTTTTTTCTTTTAATTTAATTTAGGTAATTGGTCTATGGCTAGAAACAATTGTCTTTATTGCAGGAGGTGCTAAGTTGGTGCTAACTAACTGGAACTGAAGCAGTAAGCAGCTGAATTTTCACTCTTCAATGAGATCTTGGGTTTGAAACTTAAGTTATCTTCAGTGTTGTTATAAATCTATATTGGAATATTTTATTTTTATTTTTTGCGTTGCAGAGTTCTTTGCACTGCAAGATGCTTATTCTCTTGACTGTATTTGATCTCTGCTGTACTATAAATGACTTTAATAAAAGGAATTTTTGACTCTTATGTGACGTTTGTGCCAAATTGAAAATATGAAATCACTGTTTTGCCTATATAAATGCATGTGTCCATGAAATAGAATAATAGTTATATTCATCTGAAAAGTTTTAATGTTCGAGTTTCGCTTTGTTGTATGGGGAAAAGAGGGTTTTAAAGCTCTACTCAGTAGATCTTTCCATGTCTTTTTCTTTTTTTCTCCCAGGAAGCAAGAAAAAGGAAAAGGAAAGGCCTGAAATCTCCCCTCCCTCAGATTTTGAGCATACCATCCATGTTGGCTTCGATGCAGTTACTGGAGAATTTACTGTGAGTATACCTGACCTCACTGAGCAAACATCTGTGGGTCTGACATGGAGAAGCCCCGGAGGTTATTTTAAAATGAAGTGTGAGATAGTCTGTTTTTCTTTGCCAAATAAATAATTTTCCTGTGTATTTGCATGATGTGAAGAGCAAAGACTGACCTCGCAGTGCTTCTGCAAGGTGAAAGTCAGATCTAATGTTTTGCTTCAGCTGAGAGGGTCTTCCTTGAGAATTGCTGTGGAAAGTACCCTTTTCGGTTCACTTTCAGTAGATCATAATTGGTTCTTTTGGGTGTCTTAGCATTCCCCTTTCTCACTTACCTGGTTTAATATACCTGGAAGCAGTGCCATCATGTTGACCCAGTAGGTTGGAGGCACTGGTGGGTTTGAGGATGCTCGAGACGTTGAGCAGTCAGGAGGGATTTCAGTTGTGGCTTGGTCTTGCATTGCATCAACAACATCATTACCAGAGCATCAAGTGGGAACATTGAAACACTCTCCTTCTCGCTCAGACATTCAGGGCTTCGTGTGGTGGAAGGAAATTTGTTTTGCCCCTTTTTTTTTTTTCCTTTTAATAACTCTTTAACATGCTGGAAGGATGCTTCAACAGCCTGCTCTTTCAGGGAATGCCAGAGCAATGGGCTCGCTTGCTACAGACCTCAAATATCACCAAGTTAGAACAGAAGAAAAATCCCCAGGCGGTACTAGATGTGCTGAAGTTCTACGACTCCAAAGACACAGCAAAACAGAAGTATCTGAGTTTCTCTGCTCCAGGTGAGATGCACAAGTATGCAAGGCATAGCAGGGGCAGGGAGGAGGAATCGGGTTTTGGAACTCGGTCTTCATCTCTTTTGGATTCATAAAACAGACTCAGATGATGGAAAAGCAAGCGACTTCTCAATGGGGAAGGAACATTTGCAGATGGATTTAAAGCTTACTGGAAACCAGCTTTGTCCACTTGATTTCCTGTTTTAAATGGAGATGGGAAGAAATGGGCCTGGATAATTCAAACTAGCAGCTAGAATTAACTTTAATGAGCTCTGTATTTGAAGCTGGTCTCTGAGATTAAATAGAGAGGCTGCAGGAATGGCTGTCCTGCAAACATACGTGCTTCCTTTTATCTAGTTCTCCAAATTATTTCCATTTTGAAAATAGCTTAGTAACAAGACTTCATAATATCTTTGCTTCAAAGCACTGTTAGAGGAACAGAAATACCAATTTGATCTTAAATTCCATCTCAGGGGAATAGGATGTGCAAGCATGGCAGGCAATATTCAGTTTAAAAAAGAGCTTGTTGGATATGTTGGATACTAAGGTGAGGTCAAGCAGTAGAACAAGTTGGTGGTTTTTACTGACCCTTAGGAGATGATTTTAGTAGGTTATTCCTTCTCTCTCTGTGGAATTATAGTGCTACTGGCTTATCTTATTTGTTACTGTGAATTTTTGCATTTTTTCTTCAGCTACTCTATAAAGTGATTTTTTAATATTATTTATTCTTCTGATTTAATGATTTTTATTGTTTGTTCTCTTTAGAAAAAGATGGTTTCCCTTCAGGAACACCAACGGTGAGTGTGTTTGTTCCTCTTTGTAACTTACGGAAGAAAATTTCCCATCTTCTGTATTTGTTATACCAACTCCTGCAGCATAAAGCAAATTGAGAACTTCTTGTGGGATAAAAAACCTAAAAAGGAGGGTAGAACTCAACATGTTTTACTAGAGAAATAGTGTTTGAATGTTGTAATAAAATGCATTAGGATGCTTGAACTAGAGCTATCCTTTTGTTTTGACATCAGTAACAATTCTTTTATCTTCTTATAGAAAACCACAAGTTTTTAATGCTTTTTGAAGGGATACAATTTTATTTATACTGTTTTTATCTTCGGCTCAATGCAGACGAATGCCAAAGGTTCAGAGCCATCAGTGGCTGTAGCTGATGAGGATGATGATGAAGATGACGAAGAGGTTCCTCCTCCTGTTATTGCTCCACGGCCAGATCACACAAAATCGGTGAGGTGTTTTTTTGTTTTGTTTATTTGTTTTTCTTGGAAAAATATATTTCATTCAAAGTAATCAGTATTATGTTGAAAAATTAAAGGCTTATGAAGGCTTACCTAACTTTTAGCACCCTGTGTGCCCTGCTCACATAGTCCCAGGGATGCTACTTACTCCAGCTCCTTCTTTGACTCCTGGTAGATGTACATATTGCTGCTCTGCTGCCCACTGGAGTCTTATTTTTGTTCCAGGGGCATAGATAGGAATTGTGTGTGTGGGAACACTGCTTTTAGCACTGCCTGCTCAGGGTATGTAAATATATATATTCTATAGGATAGTTGTGCATTGCTGTAAAACTCAGGAGTTTCTTCAAATGCAAGGAACGTGGACAGCTTAGTGGGAAATGAAGTAAGAAATGCCCAGAATTGTAGGGAGATGAGAAGCCCACGGATCTGTGCTCTTTTCGTGATGAAGCACGGATCTTTTTACCTTTAAATGCATAGGAGTGAGTTGTAGGTAAGTTGCCAGCATCTTGACTTTCTGGAATTAAATACTTTTTGGTCTGATTTCTGGCATCAAGGTGTTACATATAATGGTGCTTAGTGATCTTTTCTAAGTGTGACCTGTTTTGAAGCGGATTTCGGGGATCACAAAGAGGATACTCGAGTAAATGGTCTCTCTTAACAACAGATTTATACGCGGTCTGTGATCGACCCCATCCCTGCGCCAGCTGGTGACACGACTGTCGACCACGCAACCAAATCAGGGGATAAGCAGAAAAAGAAGACCAAAATGTCAGATGAGGAGATCATGGAAAAACTACGTAGGTGTTTCTTGTTTTATATTACAAGGTCTTTAGGACTGGGTTCAGTCTCATTTGCTTTTGACTTTTGAGAGGTTTGGGGCAATTACGATCAGAACTGCGTTCTGAGCTATGAAGCAGGTGATCATGGATGACCTAAACGTGCTCATGGAATGGCTTGTGCTTCTGTAATGATACTTCTGCTAGTCTATCCAGAAAGCTGTCTTTAAAGAGAGATGTTAGTGGGAAATAACCCACTAACATTCAGAGTCAGACCTGGCCTAACGGTTGTTTGAGACTGGGCCATTTGGAACGAAATCAGGAAGCTCTGGCTCTCAGTGCATCAACCTTTTCACTGCTTGAGCTGACTCATACTCGGAGCTATCCTGGCTGAGGCTGGCCCTGCTAAACACGAGCAGTGGGAACGGCATGTATTCTTAGCATGAGTAGACAGAAACAGTTTGCTGTGTTGTGATAGCAAAGAACGTTTTTTAAAGCAGTGTCTCTTCTAAAAATTCCTGTGGAGTGTTATGGAAATGTTCCTCTTTACTATTTTTTTTTAGGTACTATTGTGAGCATAGGCGATCCCAAGAAAAAATACACCAGATATGAAAAAATTGGGCAGGGGTAAGTGTTACCCCCACTGTTATTCACAGTGAGTGAGTGCTAAAGGCAATGTACTGTTCCTCTCTGCTACTACCATGTAGACACTACTTCACTGAAGCAGGCAGAAAAGTTTGCTGTATTAGACAATGACAAACAGACGCTGAAGTCTTCGTATCCTGGTGCAATGATCCTTCCTTAGTCCTGTCTTACTAAGACATAGTCACTGTTTCTGCAGTCCGACTACTGAAAAAAAGCTTGAGGGTACCTCAGAAGGCTTTCTGTGTGATGGACTAACACTATTTCTAACCATGTTACTCTTACCAAGTTCCTATGAATTCTTTTGGGTTAAAAAAAAAAAAAAAAAAAAAAACCACCAAAAACTTCACTTAAACTACTCTTTCCTATATTTTTAATTAGTAGCTTGTTATTATTTCAGCATGACTCTTACTCTCTGCTCCTTCCCAAATATTTCCATGTGCATTTGTGGGAGAGCTTCCCCAGGACCGAAATGAAAAGTAATACCTCCTATAGAAAAGCCGGTCCAACCTATCTGATCTTAGGCAAAAGCACAAGTTTTTGAGGCTTGGAAGATGGGGCTTTGTCTTAGGACAGACAAAGTGCAAGTGGACTTGCGTTAGTTTGCTTTGGGTAAAGTGATGGGCACTTCTTGGATACCACTTACTTTGAACAGCCTTCCTTTTGATACATCCAAAAGTGCCACCCTCGCAACATCCAAAGCTGAAGAAGTTTTGTGTTTGTGATCTGTCTGTTTGTGTGCGTGTGTGTGACACAGAGGTGTTACCTGGCTGCAAGATTGTTCTTTTTCTTCACAGGGCTTCAGGGACAGTTTTCACGGCTATTGATGTGGCAACAGGACAGGAGGTGAGATTTCTGTGCTCCTCAAACTGCGAATGCCTTTGTGGTAGAAATGTTCCTCTGTAGGTGGTCAGAGTGATCTGACCAAGTTGTGGTTTGTGGCTTCCATCTCTGCTATCACCTTGCAGACTCATGTTTGTCCTAGTCATTGGTAACAGCGTGTGCCTTGTTTTGTAGTAATGAAAGCTAAAAATAGGGTTTTGTCTTTCCAGTGAGAAGCAGAGGGAGTGAGATGTTCCAGACAGGGATTTTGAAAACAGTTTATCCTTCAAGTACTGTAGGCAACGGTGTTCTGGACTGTTGGTGTTCTGGATTGTCGGCAGTAAATCTTCTTTTAGTCTTAACACAGGTAGTTACTAGGCCCATTTCAGCAGTGGTGACTGAGACATCCATTTGTATGGAAATAGCTTGTCCCCACATGAAGCTTTGCTTTAGTTAGAAAGTCTTCTGCACATCCTTGTTTTTGCTACTTGGTGCATCCCAACTGTCTGGTGGAAGGTGATTACACCGGTAAAATGCTACCTCCTTGTCATGCACTGATCATCTCTGATTCCCCAAGATTAAAATTTTAGCAATTACTTCTTTCACATTTGATTTTATTTCACGTTACATTCACATTTCCTTATTTTTCCTTTAAAAGTCGAAAGCCAGCCATTCTTTAGGTCAGTGATAAGTAGCTGGCTTTTCATCAGTGACTACTCCATCTCCCAGTGCTGTAGTGCCACAGTACTTTCTACACCCTGCTGTACTTGTCTTCTCACTGCCTGCAGAGTAAATCTTGCAGCTCGATTCCTTTTTTAGACCTTCTTGTAACAGCCGACTGCTTGCAGTCTCTGCCTTCATCCATTAAGCTGATCCAGCGCGCTGGCTTCCTCACTACTTACTATGGAAGAGGAGGAAGTGCTGATGACAGAATTAATTTTGTTTGGTGGTAAGAAGAGAGGACTAAAGGAGGATTTTTATTGCTATCTTCAACAGCAGAGCAAAGAGGGAATTAAAGTTAGAGCGTTGCAGGCAACAGATAAAATGCAGTAGGTGAGATTGTTTAGATGCTATGTATGTGTGCATTTATATGTATATTTTTCTCCCCACAAAGAGAGGGTTGCTCATTAAACAGGGGCCCAGATTGGTGGTGGTGTCTCCACCCATTGAGATCTCCATTCAGAGCTCACCTGGACAAGGCCTTCAACAACCTGCTTTAAGTGGCCCAACTTTGAGCAGGCCCTTTGGACCGGATGATCTGCAGAGGTCCCTTTTGGTCTTGACTGTTTTGTGATTCTGTGTCCCAAGTTCTGTTCTTTTAATGCTCATGGTAATATGTTGGTGAATGTTTCTACATTTGGTTCCTTGGTTCTTGTGGTACCACCTGGTTGCCACCTAAATGCCTCCTGAAAATGTTACTAATGACAGAACAGACTCAGGACATTTTTTCATTGTAAAGTCTCAAAGACTTATTCTGATTTACTTATTCCTTGGATTAGGTGGTTCTTTATTTTCCCTTCTACCTCAGGGATGGTTTATAGGCTTTGATTGCTCTGAGGGAGTTATCTCCAAGTTTCTCTTTCCCCTCAAAACATGGTCCCTAATGTCTTTCCCCTCAAAACATGGTCCCATGACAATATTTTTCCTACAATTGTCACTCCAGGCATTTGACATTTCTGCTTTTCTTGCCTTAGCCACACCAGTAGCTGCTTACAGCTTGCTGACAGCAGTGGGGCTCTGAGGACTGCTCTTGCTGTTGATCAGCAACTGATTCACTTGTCTCCCATCTTGAGTTCTCTCTCAGACTTGCATTGATTTTGTCACCCCCACCATGGCCAACATTTTCTTCTTTATCTTGCTGTTGTTTTGAACATTCTCACTTGCTTGTTGGGTAGGTTGCTGTTTCTTCCTCTTCAAAACTTCTTCTGTTGGATTGTGCTTTCAGTCTTTTCTGATTTTTTTTTTCAACGGCTAATAAAGTTACATGCTAATGAGTAGATACCCTACCCGCTGCAAGTCGTTTCTGTGCCAAACTGCTTTACTGATCTCACAGAATCTCTTTTCCATTTTGAGAGTGATTGGAAGTTTTTTTGATATTCAAGTTGGAATTATTAACGTTTCCTTTGGCCCTCCTCAGGTTGCTATCAAACAGATAAATCTACAGAAACAGCCCAAGAAGGAGTTGATTATCAATGAAATCTTGGTCATGAAGGAGCTAAAGAACCCCAACATAGTCAACTTCCTGGACAGGTAAATGCAGACAGCTGGCTGAACCCTTCATTCCCAGGGTTTTTCAAGAGTTTTTAACTTGGTATTCCTCTCTAGGCCCAGAGTGTTGATACCTTGGGTTCTTATAGGCAATTAAGAGATGATATTTAAATTGAGAGGGGGGAAAAAAAAAGAGAAAAAAAGAAAATGAAGTCTATTATAGGGAATGGTCCTGTTGATTTGGTCAGAGACCTTTTGTCGTGAGTGCATGTGGTCGAGGAGCAGTGATGTCAGAGAGCACAGCTGGAAACACTGTGTTCTCTGAGGGGTGCAGGACGTTTTCCTGACCATCTAGGTGAAGAAGCTTGTGGCTGTTATTGTCAGCGTATTGCTTTATTACATATAAAGGCTACCTACCTCCTTACCTACCTGCTTTCTTCACTGCTTGTCGTGAGGTGTTTTCTGGAGCAGTTGTCAGGGTGCTCCTACCCGTTGGTTTGCAGCTCTCTGTCTCTCTTGATGGCCCATGGGCATGCTTTTCATTTTTTGTTTGTAGTTACCTTGTAGGAGATGAGTTGTTTGTGGTGATGGAATATCTAGCTGGAGGCTCCCTAACAGATGTGGTCACAGAAACATGCATGGATGAAGCACAAATCGCTGCTGTTTGCAGAGAGGTGAGTGCAGAGAAATGAAGGCACATGCCGTTCCTTGGGGTTTTATGGTACATTTATGTTACAAATAATTGCAAAAACTGCCATTGAGAACATTCAGTTGGGTAGAATTAATGATACTAGGAACAGAAGGAGCAGAAATTAATATTAAAGTCAGCGATAAACTCACATTTTTGCTCCCCCTGCCCAACCAAACCAACCAAAACTGCATTTTCCTGTTCTCTATGAAACGCTTATACCCAGAGGAAGGAGTAGAAAATGGATCATTCAGTAGCAGAGAACGCAGTGGTGGTGAATGAGCTACACAGGGAATGTCACTGCATATTAAACGTGGCTTTGCCATGTGTAACACAAAAGAGCTGTCATGGTTGGAGCTGGATATTTGAGAATGTTAAAAGATGGAGCTAAAGGAAATAAAAAGTAACTTATGTCACAGCTTATCAGTGTTTTTTGCCTAGAGTCAGATGGTCAGTGACTCCTTCAGACTCAGTTTATTATGGGAACAGGAGAAGAAATTGCGTTACCTAGTGTGCAGGAAAAGCTTAGGCTTTTAAAAAGCCATTTGGCTACCTCAGCATGACTTCTGCCTTTGATGACTCACCTAAAGGGAGAGAATAAAAAGCAAAATGGATTATTAACATGCACGGACAGGTAGTGGTTTCCTGAAGAACTGGAGCTGGAAGCAGAGACCTAAAACTAGCATGACAGTAATAGTAGTTAACCCTCTTGAGGGAACTGTCTGATACTGAACTATTGTGCTTCGTCAAAATGCTGCTGCCCAGAACATCAGAACATCAGCCACTTAGCTAAGGTAAACAGAGGCAAAAATACTCAGGATCATGTCCAAGCCAAGTTAAAATGGTAAATGTTTTGTTTGTATTTTAAAAAATACTTGTAAATGGTGGTGTTGCTTTTTCTCAAATAGCAAAACTAAGTTTTATTCTGTTTTTATGCCCAAAGGAAGGTTATAATCAAAAAATAACTCAAAAACAGTTTTAGGGAGTTTATTTTTAGTGGGTGATTTTGGACAATGTGTTAGGGATGAAGATTTTAATGGACTCGTTCTATAAGATGAGAGAGAAACATTATAGCTGAGTGGTTTTTTTTTTTTTTTTTTTGATCTCTGACTTCTGGCAAATATATATATATATTTTAGCACAAGAGCTTCCTCTACTGGTTACTTTATAAAATACCTGCTATATTTTCAGATGTGGAGGGTGGAAGCACTTTGAATTTTTGTTCATGTGTGCAAATTGTGTTTGCAAATTGTGTGCTGTGTGTGCAAATTGTGTTTGCAAATTGTGTGCTGTGTGTGCAAATTGTGTTGCATAAGCTAAATGTTTTTGGTTTTTTTCCTCTCTCTCCCATCCAGTGCTTGCAAGCACTTGAATTCCTACATGCCAACCAGGTCATCCACAGAGACATTAAGAGTGACAACGTGCTGTTAGGAATGGACGGATCCGTTAAACTCAGTAAGTACCAGACAATTGTTTCAATTATTTGATTTTCTTCTTCCTAGCACACCTTACCTTGGGAGTCTGAGCTGATAAAAGGGTAGTTAGCAAGGATATCCGAGAAGCCTTTTTTCCCCAAATGTCAGCAACAGGAATTTGTTCTGTCTTCTAAAATCCATAACTTGCAAATGGCAGGTGTTGAAATTCAGAGGGGCCCAAGACTGCAAGGCTGTGGGCATGTAAAGCTGGCAGGATGTTGAAGCAAGCATGTTGTCACATTATTGCATTGGTAAATCTGAAATAACTGGGAACTGGGAATTGTCTTGTGCTAGTGGACACAAGGTAAAAGCACAGCTAATGCTAGTGGCTCTACAAACTTTTCAGGCTGCCATTATTTGCTTTTAATGATTTGCCCTTTTCACTTAGAAGGTAACTTAACAAGGAATTATATGTTATTACCTGTTTATGTTGCAATCTAGTCTGCAGCTGTGCTTTGCTGTCTCCTTTGCTTGGACTGAAATTGTAACCTACTTCCACTAATAAAATTGGGAAATGAGAAAAGAAGCAACTTTTCAGGTAGCTGTCCTGCATGCCTCCTCCTGTGCAGTAAGTCAGGATTTGGAGGGTATGAACGTGTGGCAATGAAAGAGCCAGAGGCTTTTGAAATGGGAGACCCCACTTCAAAATGCAGAAGATTTTGGAACGACTTTTTGAAGTTCAGAGCGAGGCGCGTGTTA